CATCCCACTCCATTCCCCTCTCGGTGTCTGTGCTGCTCAGAGCAGGTGGAAGCAGCCAAACACTTCGAAGTCTTGGAGAGTTTTCTAGGTTTTCTCTGCACCTTTAAATTCCAAAAGCACTGTGATTTTTAAGGCAAAAGCCAAGCCTTTAAAGCTGTAAACAGATGGTTTCCCTCTTCCTATATAAGAGCAATCTTAAAAAACACTAAAAATTTAACAACCTTATTGTTTTTTTAAATACTTTGTGAAGTAAGGCCATTCCAGGGGGCTGTCAGGCGAAGTGGTAATGGCAGGACATATCCAGCCTCCCCAGGTGCCAGCCTGGCCTTCCTCCCTCATCTGCCTCTGTTACAGCCCCCAGACTGGCCCAACAGGAATTTCTGCTCTGTATTTTAGTGAACTTGTGGCAGTAAATGAGTAAATGTATAAAGAAAGGGGTGAGCATTCTGTCAGCTTGGTGCAGTGTAACCCCTTCACTTACAGCCCCTTTATCTGCCGAATTCTGGCAGGGGCAGAGGCGCTGACTCACTCGCAGCGCCTCCATCCCGCAGTGAATCCCAGACCCGAGCCTGCACTCTCAGCGTTCTGTTCCTGCCAGGACAGAAAAAGCTCCGAGCAGGACAGAGCAGCTGTGTTTCGCGCCCCATCAGCTAAATTTCGATGAAATCATTTTGATAAATTGTTTAGGAAGGGGAAAAAAGCCCCATTAACTGTACATTTGCTGTTAATTAATAGCCTGCTTCTTTCCTCCTCTGGCACAGCAGCTCCAAGCTGCCTCAGGCTGGCTCTGAGCGCAGCACCCTCGGGGGCACAGGGAGGTGGGTGCTGGGGGGGGATCCGAGCAGGGATCTGCAGGGCTGTGACCTGGCTGCTCCCAGCTTCACACCCTGCTCCACAGGCCGTGCGGGAGGAGTGGGAAAAGCAAACAGCTCCATTCTTCTCCCAGAGCTGTGCAGGGCAGCTCTGTCCCGGTCCCTGGGCAGCCCCCGGGCGCTGTGCAGTGCCAGCGGGGCAGGCAAGCAGCTCCACAGCTCCTCAGCTTTATTGTTTTTAATACATTCTCTTGTCATATATTTGTTTTCTGTCCATATCTTGTATATATCTCTGGAATGTTATTGGAGAGGAATGTTGGCCGATGTTCCCAGCACTCAGACGCCGGAGCTGCAGGGGGACAGGAGCAGGGCAGTGCCCAGAGCCTCGGGGTGCCCGCAGGTCCTGGCCAGGACCTGAACCAGCCACGCACACGACAGGGAGCTGGGATGGGGGAAAAGTCCTGATAAATCCTTTTCATTCACAACGATCATGTCAATGTGCCCACAGGGTGTCGAAACACGGGGGAGAGGAGGGAGCAGTCACTCCTCTCAGACCCTCTGGTCCCACACACCCTCTGGCAGCACAGCAGGGGGACATCTGCAGTGTCCCTGTCCCCAGCCCTCAGCAGCTCAGGTAGTGCTTTGGCAAAGAGCTTCAGGCTGGGAGAGCTGGTGTGTCCAGCCTGGAGAGCAGAAGGGAGACCTCACACTCCCTTCCAGAGCCTAAGGGGGTTCCAAGAGAGCTGGAGAGGGATTTTGGCTTCCCACTGCCAGAGGGATATTAGATGAGATATTGGGAAGGAATTCTTCCCTGGGAGGGTGGGCAGGCCCTGGCACAGGTTGCCCAGAGAAGCTGTGGCTGCCCCTGAACCCCTGGAAGTGCTCAGGGCTGTGCCACTTGCTTCACTCTGCGGCTGGAGAGAAGAGCCCTGGTAACATTTGGTCCAAATTAATGCTGGTTTGTTTTGACATGCAAATAGCTTCTCATTAGAGGGGGAAAGGTGGAAATAGACACTACTTAGTTCCTACAGTCTAATTTTTTTAATGAACCAGGCATCTGTGGGGTTTTTTAATATGTATTTCTTTTAATAGGGCGAGTAACTTTTGTGTGGGCTGAATTAGATCTAAATGAAAGCAAACAAGGCATAATTAGAAACTGGTTCCCTTTTTTCTGGTTTCTTCCCCTCTGGAAGGGCAGTGTTATCACCAGGTGTGCCGCTGGGAGGGGGGGACGTGCCTGGTGGTGGGGGTCCAGCAGAGGGGGAGAGGCAAGGGGGGCAGCAGGAGCTGCCAGCACGGTCCCACAGGGGAGCTGGGCACGCACTGGGAACCATCCAATGGCTTTGAGGCTCCTGGAGGAGCGGGATATGGCCCCTCTCCCCACTGCCATCCCCATGGCACTGTGTGTCCCCACACCCAGACAACCCAGCCACTGCAACCTGCCTGTGCCAAGGGGAAGGAGAAGGGCTGCTTTCCAAAGGCAGCTCCATGTGTGAATCTGGGAAGCTCCCATTTGGGAAGTGCATGAGTTTCTCATTTAACGTGGTACCACGCCACATTCTTTCTCTGTGAGGAGCCCTCATTTAACTTTAGGCGTGTTTGTACATCTAATTACAAATGGGTCATGTTTAATTGATTTCATACATCCCCAGCACTCCTGCCAGCGCAGGGCAGCCACGGTGGCAGAGGTACAGGCACAGGGCTGGCTCCCAGCTGGCCCCTCTGCTCTGCCCTCATCCCACTGGCAGCCCCAGGTGCCAACCAGCCCCCAGGAGCTCTGCCTGCCCAGAGGAGCAGTGGGCAGAGCAGGGCAGGAAGCACCTCAGCAGCCACTCTGCGGCTTCCCTCTGGCTCCACAGTGCCCACGCACAACCACTGTGGGCTGGTGGTTTCCAAAGCCCTCGGGCTGCAGAGGAGGACGCTGCTTTCAGGGCAAGGCAGAAGCTGGAGAGCTCTCCTCGTGTCCCTGCCATCCCTGCAGGGGTGCAGGCTCTGAGATGGGTCAGGGTGCTCCCTGTGCTCCCCATCGCCCTGTGCTCCATGTCCTGCACGTCCCTGCTCCTGCACCCCCAGAGGAGGGACACACAGGCTCCTCGGGATGGAGGGGCTGCAGGACAGCACAGAGCACCCCCAGGGGACAGCAACACAGAGCACGAGCCTCAGGGGGCGTGTGCCCACCGCCTGTGCCCACCCACACCCCTCGGGCCCCGGCTCGTGGCGATGGGCACCGCTCATCCTTCTTCTGTCACAGCTCTCCAGGGGAGCTGAATCAAACTGTCAGCAAAGAGGGGATGATGATTCAGCTCCCACCGAGGGCTACACTATTACCTAGCAGCTTAATAATGAAAACTGTCATCATTCCTGCAATAAGGAAAGATAAATAAGTTATTAAAAGAAGAGCCTGCCACCCTCTTTGGGCAGGGCACGGTGCCAGAGGATATTAACTGCTGGCCACAGCCTGTCTGTTCAGGGAATGGAGAGGGATACCCTGAGTGCTCGGAGAAAGAGCTCTTTCTCCTCCAGCTGGTTTGGAAAAGGCTTGTGTGCCTGGCACAGTGAGAGTCATCACTCCTGCTCCAGCCACCACTGCTGCTCCAGCCACCACTGCTGCTCCAGCCACCACTCCTACTGCCACTGCTGCTCCTCCCCAGAGGTGTAAAGATAAATACAGCCCCAGGAACAGAGATGGTGGGGAGGGGAGGACTGAGGCTGAGGAGGGGCCAAAGCAGGCTCTGATGATCTGGTGAGCCCAGGTCCCGAGCAAGGAGCCCATTAACCAGAGCTGTGCTGAGCAGTGTCTGTGGGACCCTCCAGTGCACTGAGGAGTGACAAACAGGGCATCCTGTGGCAGTGGCTGCAGGTGATGCTGTGCAGGGAAGGGGCCAGTGCAGCTTCCATGCTGGATCCCACTCAGCTGCACAGCCAAACTGTTTTCCCCCCTCTGCTGGCCCTGCCAAGCTCCCCTGGCTGGGGCTCCACTTTAGCACCTGCCAGTATGTGACACAACGAAAGGCACGTCTGATGTGGTGAGAGAAAGTTGTGAAACGGGAAAGGAAGGAGAAAAGAAGAAGTGTCCTTCCTTGCTGAGCTGTATTCCACTGGGCAGACAGCAGGAGCTGTTACACTCCCTGCCAGGAAGGGAAGGGCAGGAGCCCTGGTGGGGCCTGGCTGTGTGGGGCAGACCCCCCAGTGCTGCTCTGCGGAGCAGGACAGAATAAATGACCTTCATAATACTTCCCCTCTGAAATCCTCCAACTTTCCACTAATAAACAATGTGGTTGTCAGGGCAGCCCAATCACTTTATATAAAAATGCTCCTTCCTTCCCCCTGAACAGTCAGAACATCTTCCCCAGAGCCTACAGCAACACATTCTCCTTCCTGCCTTCTCCTGGGGACGAGTCCTCCCTTTGTCCCTTCTCATGTCCCCAGCTGTGCCCCGTTCCCATCGTTGTTGGCTCCTGGGGGCTTAAGAAAATAGATCTGTTCTTGTGGCAGCTCCTCTATCTGGGCTGTCTTGGTGCCATTTTCAGCCTCAGTAGAGCCCCTGGAACCATGTTTTTAATCGCTGTATTTACATGCACCTTCTGGAGCTGCTGAAGTGTCCTGACAAGCCTCTGGAATCAAAGGCTTGGAGCTGCCCCAAGGGCAGGGAGCAGAGAGAATCACCTGGGCTGCCGGCAGGATGGCCCTGGAGGGCTGCAGGAACACGCCTGGCACAGGCAGGCGGGCTCTGGGCCACGGACCCGCTGCTGCTGCTGTTGGGATGGCCCGGGAAGGGCTGCAGGAACACGCACAGGAGGGTGGGCTCTGAGCCAGGTGCCCAGCGCTCCCCCCACCACCCACGGCGCGCAGGTCCCGGCACGCTCCGCTCCCCGCCCGGCCCACAGACGCCACCCGAGACCACAGGCAAGTTTCCACACTTGGCCGGGAAAGAGCCCATAAAGTTAGTGAACATCTTAAAAATTAAGCACCTAATGATCCCCACCCTGCAGCCAAGGGCCGGGTGCCAGCCGGGCGCTGGCTCCGCACCGTGCCCTTCCCGGCACGGCACACGGCTCGGCCTGGCTAAACCCCACAGCACCCTCGGCTGTGGGGCTGGGGGGACAGAGCAGGTCCTGGGACACTGCCACCAGTGAGATGGCATAGGAACACTGGTGAAAAGTGGAGGAAACATCGCCTGAGCCATGACACCAAAGCCCTGCGCCCTTTGACTCCCAGAAACATTTCACTCCCTGAAAACACATCTTCGGGTCCTGCTGCCACTGGCTCATGTTCCCTCACCCACCGAGGGGTGGCTCTATGGGTAAGATCAGTCCCCTGCAGCCCCAGGCTGAAGCCAAGGGCTTGTCCTTGGTGCCATCTCCTCTGTGCCACGGTGCCATCACCATCACCTCTGTTCGGAGGGCTCTGAGGGCCGGGCTGAGGGCAATTTGTCAGAACGTTTCATCCCTCCACACACCTCTCATTGTCACAACACAGCCCCTGTGAGTGGACAAAACTCTTCAGATGTCCTCAGTCTTGCCATCCCAGCCCACAGCGTGGGATTTCCTCTCAGGTGCCCCTGGGCAAAGCCAGCCAGAGCTATAAGCCATCTCCAGCCCCCACTCCTTCCCCCACTCTGCTCTGGCCGTGCTGTGCCCCAAGGAATCCCCCCTGCAGGTGCCCAGGCACTGCCCCTCACTGCCTGCCCACCCTGACCCCGCTCCACACTGCACCAGGCCCTGCTCCCAGGGTACCTGCCTGTCTTGGTGCTCCTCTGGAGACTCCTTCCCCAAAGCCTCCCTCCTCCTGGCCAGCCTTCCGCCATCCCTGCCCTCTACTGCTCTCCTGCTGGCCATAAAAATATATAGAATATAGAACATTATTTTATGACATACTATAAAAAAAACCCAACCTGGAACTAGGAGACACGTGCCAAACCTCAGCAGCACATGCAGGAATGCCTTTGTCCCAGCTGTTGCTGGATTTCCTGAGCTCTTCCCAGCAGAGTTGAAGGCTTTTAAGGACAGAAACCTTGTTTTCTTGATTTCTTGATTTTTTTCCTGGCACGGGGCAGCAGCGGTGGCTGTGGCTGCACAGAGTCAGTGATGCCATCTGTCCTTTGGGTCCAATCTCCTGAGGTGCTGCCCAGGGCTCCCCAAACCAGGCATACAGAGAGCATGGAGAGCGGGTATAGGTGGAGCTGGACATTGTGAGGAGGGCGAGAGGCAGAGGTCTCCCATTCCCCATGAGAATGCTGCCTGCAGTTATTGCTCCTCAGCTCTTGTTCCTTCATCTGCCACAGCCCTCTCCCTCCTGCCCCAGGGCTAAGCCCCCCTGTGCCCATCCTGAACCCCTCAGCTCTTCCTAGGGTTTCCCTGAGGCACTGGTTCCTGCACAGGCAGTTTGGGGAACCCATGGGCAGGGAACTGTCCGTGTTCCCTATCAGGGCTGACATCAGATCCTTAAATCACGGAGGGATGCCGTCCCACACCGGTACCCACACCCCGAGGTGCCAGCCCCTGGTCCTCCCTCATTTGCTTTCCCCTCCTGGGCTGGTGAAACCTCCCAGCAGCCTTCCAGCCCCAGCTCCATAAGGCTCCCGATTCATTCCGCAGATATTTCCTGTGCCGGGGCTTTCCGCAGCATCTGCTGGTTTGAAGTGCTCCGTTTATTCGTCCTGGGGGCACCATTACTTTCTGCTTTAGCAGTTCTGCCTGTTCTGAAGTCTCTGCCAGGCTCCATCTACGGGAGAGAAAATTGGTGAAAGAATAATAATGCTGATTGTTATAAATATATATTTCATTGCGGTGGCCCTCGGCACACGTGTTCGTCACTGACGAGGAGACCAGAGGGCGAGGGGGGAACACTCAGCTCCCAACAGGCTCCCAACAGCAGATGTGTGTCCTCACCCTGCTGCCTCCTCCTCCTCCTCCTCCTCCTCCTGCTCCTCCTCTTCCTCCTCCCCCTCTACCCAAGGCACTTGTCACTACACCCCCATCTCTTTTCCCCGGAAGGTCTCTGGTGGGTCAGGGGTCCAGAAGTCCTGGAGAGCTCTGGAGGTGGGTTCCTGTCATTCCTGACTGTGAGATATGTCCTGGGCAGGCTGGAGCCACTTCTGAGATCATCCATCCATTGGGTCGGATGGAGAGAACAGCTGAGTGGGGAACAGTGGGCAAAGAGCTTTGCACAAGGGGCATGGCAAAGAGGTGCCCAGCTGTGTCTCCTGGCTTCTGCCTCAGTTTCTCCATGGATTTTTGCTCTTGTCTGGCTGAGTGAAAACATAAATCACTGATAATTTCACCCATAAATGATCCACATCAGCACCAGCAGCACATTTCGCCTCTCCTCAGATTATCCAACCAGGGTCTTTGTGAGGGATTGCAGAGGATCTTTCCCCTTGTTTCACCATCTGTGCTCCACCCTCACATGGATGATCCCCTTCCCTCATGTCCTGAGCCGCTGCAGCCTGAGGATGCTCCAGGCCTGTGTCCCAGCCCTCGAGGCCACTCAAACTCCTCCACTTCCATTTCCTGCTGCAGAGAGGTTCAGGTATTTCCTGTAGACACTTTAAAACCCCTCAAGGGCTTCTCCATTTCACCCTCAGTGGGATGGCCTGGAAGCAGGACAGCAGGAGCCGTGCAGAGTGGGGTACCTGGGAAGACTTTGTACAGATCAGCATTCCTTGGCTCATTTTCCACTGGCCTTTCCACTTGGAGCAGCCCTCCCCTCCCTGCAGATCAGACCAGATAGTTGCACATGGGCCCTCCTGGGTCTGAAAATCAGTAAATGCAGTTCCATCTGCTGCGAGGATAACGTTACCACTGCCAGATCATCCCTGCTCCTGGGCTGCAGCTCTGACCAGAAACCATCTGTATGGCAGGGGCTGTGCTGGGGACACACAGGGACACGCAGGGACCCACGGAGAGCACCAGCCCAGTGTGGGTACTGTTACCTACAGATGGAAGGTCATCTCTGAGGTACTCAATCTTCCCTAAACTCCTTTGCTGTAACCCTTTCAGGGGACATCTGTTAAATCCCTCCAGGGATGGTGATTCCACCTCTGCCCTGGGGAGCTTCTTCCAGTGCCTCACCAGCCTTTTGGGGAAGGTTTCCCTAATATTCAACCTCAGCCTCCCCTGGCACAGCCTGAGACCATTCCCTCTCCTCCTGTCCCTGTTCCCTGGGAGCAGAGGCCGAACCCCCCCAGCTCCCCCCTCCTGGCAGGGATTGCAGAGCCAGAAGGTCCCCCCTGAGCCTCCTTTTCTCCAGGCTGAGCCCCCCCAGCTCCCTCAGCCACTCCTGCTGCTCCAGACCCTTTCCCAGCTCCCTTGCTGGACAGGCTCCATCCCCTCAATGTCCTTCTTGTCTCTCCAACCCCACACTGGAGCCCAGGAAGGTGGGAGAAAGAGATGGAAGTACATCAACCACCAGAGCTCATGCAACCATAAATGCAAAGTCTGGGACTTGTTTTTTCCTTATTTGCTGTTAGATTGGCCATGATCTCTTCTGGAACCTCCTCCCAGCTTGGTCAGAGGTGGCAGAGCTCTCCTGATCCCCCTGGAGTCCCTGCCTCCCGTGCTGCAGCTCCCAGCAGAGCATCCTGCTGTGGCCATCCCAGCCTCACACTGGCCAGGAGAGCCTTCCCAAACACCCCAAGATCTG